GGCCGCCTCCGCGGACTGCTGGTCCTGGGACGGCATGCAACAACATTGCGAAAGGATCAGTTGGCCGCGAAAGGCAGCTCATACTGGCGGCTTTCGTTCCCCCACCCGGCAGCAGATAGCGAAGGATCTGGAATCAGCGTTTCAAGCTCTTAAAGATGGTGTACATCTCATTCCAAAAGGTCACTTCGACCAACCTTTCTTTTCATGTGAGGCAGTCTCCATTTTAGTTTTTTTTTTTGAACAGTGCCGCCCTACAAACTCCCTTTGTTGTATGTTCAGGCAAACTTGGATCCACTAGCACACTGGATCGCATCGCGACTTGTTCAAACGCCTGTGAATCTTCTTCCGAATTGCATAGCCTCATTAGGCACAGTCTTGAATTCTAGCCGACAACCATCTTCAATTTTACAAGCACACATACTTCTTGCATTCATTCGCCTTATCAAAGCGGGAGATCCACATGTGAGTCTTTGCTTTCTTGTAGCCTAGAGATTTTGTGAATGTCTTCTCGTTTAAGGTGCTTCCACATATCGTCGCGATGTCACCAAGACATCTTAACGTGCTATCCCAGCATCTCGTCCATGCATTACCGACCATGGTTGCCCAAAATCCTCCGAATGCTCACACTTTGAAAGTCCTTGCACTTCTCAGCACATCGAATGCTCCTGCAGAGCAACTGCTGTTGAAGCAGGTATGTATTTTCAGACATACATTCGCAAGCATATCCATCCATGCAATTTAGCTTGTTCCTGCCGATATCTCTCTCACTCATGCTTTGCTATGCGTCAATGCCTTGTGCATGCTCGTGATCCAGCGAGGTGATTCGGATTTGTTAGCTAAGGTAAGTTGAACTCTTGTTTTGTGCTTTATCATTGTTGATAGACCGATCAAAAGCCTTCTTCCTTGCGTTTTTTTTTTTACTTTTTTAAACATGATGAATATGCTGTTTGCACTTTCTTTAGAAGTTGTCTGGCACAACTCTGTTACAGATCTTCAACATTCTTCAAACCCATCGATGTGGTCCAACACTGCTACTAGTGCTGTGTTCATGCATGGAATCACTTTTCAAGATCTCCAAGAATCCAACAACTTTGCAGGGTAAGTCTCCATAATTGCTAGTGCTACAGTTCTGCTGCAGTTTGAACTTTTATTCTTTCCAGCTGTTCTTCGCACTATACCGACACTGAGGGATGAACGTCTGCGAACAGAGATACAATGGACCATTGCTTCATTGGCTTTAGCCCATTCACTAAAGAGTGACCTGCCTCAGATTACTAGAACATTCCTGATAGACAAGCAAAAGCTGCTGGAAGGTAGGTTGTCATCTGCCGAATTCAACATGTGTTAAAAATTCCAACTTAAGGGGCTTTGCTGACTATGGAAAGTCAGTTTCCTCTGCCAGGATTCAACGTTGCCAAGTGGAATTCTGTTGAATCTCCACCATCAAAGTCCAATGAGCATCAAGTGTTTATACAGAAAAACACCGCAATCATTGGGTAAGTGATGCTCTAATCATTTGACTGCCAGTAAATTTATAATATTTTAGTGTAAACAAGGATCCAAATGTGGAAATCACTTCTCGCACTGTAGTCGGAAGGCATTGTTGGATTCTTGAGCCGCATAAATCTGACCGAAAAGAGTGTCGTAATGTAAATGCATGGTTACAGAAGGAAGCGCAACGAGGCCGTCGAGCGGGTAAATCTTTTTTCTGCGCTTGAAAAACTACTAAAGTCCTTGACATTTTACAGCTCGCGACTCCGTAGGCATCCTTGGAACTATGGATGATCCATTTGATGCACTTCCTCGTCCTAATAACACAATGAACACCAAATGTCCTCCTGAGTGGATAGATATCCTCGAGAGTAGCCGTAGACAACCACAACCTTTGAAACCAGTGACGCACAACACTAACAAGCCTGTTATCACAAGGTAATGATATACCCTTGCATATACCCTTTGGCTCGAAGGGAGATTGACGGCTAGAAGACGACCGCTCGCACTTGCGACGCAGTCTGCGACTCTCTAGCGTGTCTGATCATTCCCTAGGCCTAATTAGGCTCGAAGTCTCGCCTCTCAGCCGCCAGTCCCGTCAAATCAAAAGGTAGAATCCAGAAAGCCGGAAGCAATTTTCTAGGTTGCAAGAATGGCGATCATTCTCCGCCAGTCTTGGTTTTGTTCCAAATGTAGCGGAAGTTCCGCTGAACTTTGCACGAGATCTCAAGCATCTTGATCATATCTGCGCCAGAGAAGTGCATAAGGTTTGTCAGTCTACCATTCAAGAAAAATGATAGAAAGGGATGTTTTGGTTTAAACAAAAAAAAA